TTCTTGGCTGAAAGTTTTTGTCTTTCAGTATTTTGAATATATCATTCTAGTCTCTCCTAGCCTGTAAAGTTTCTGTTGAGAAATCCGCTGAGAGCCTGATGGGAGTTCCTTTGTACGTTATTCTTTGCTTTTGTCTAGCTGCCCTTAATATTGTTTCTTTTTCATTGACTTTTGCCCGTTTTACCACTATATGCTGTGGAGTGGGCCTTTGCCTGTTGACATATTTAGGTGACCTGTTGGCTTCACTTACTGGTATTTCCTGCTCCTTCCCTAGATTTGGGAAGTTCTCAGCTATTATTTCCTTGAATAGGCTCTCTGTTCCTCTTTCCCTCTCTTCTCCCTCAGGAATACCTGTAATTCTTATGTTACATTTCCTAATTGAGTCGGATATTTCTCAGAGACTTTTTTCATTTCGTTTCAGTCTTAGTTCTCTCTCCTCCATCTGGAGCATATCTGTATTCCTATCCTCTGTAATGCTAATTCTTTCCTCCATATTGTCAGCTCCGATCTTTAAAGATTCCATATTCTCCTTTATCTCTTCTATTGTGTTGTTCATTTCCATCAATCTTTATGATTTCAGTCCTTTTGTGAAGAAACTCCTTATCTTGTTGAATTGTTTATCTGTGTTTTCTTGTATTTCATTGAGCTTTTTTATGATAGCTAATTTGAATTCTCTGTTGTTTAGGTTATGGATTTCTGTGCCTTCAGGGTTGATTTCTGGGTGCTTGTCTTTTTCCTTCTGGTCTGGTGATTTAATGTAGTTTTGCATTGTGGTTGCTGTATTGGCTTTGTTTTTCCTCGCCCTGGAAATATCTGGTTGTGGTTTCCACCTGCCATCACAGTGTAGGGGTCACAGGCTGTGTGATGTGACCCCCCTGTGCTCCACCGTGGCTGCTCTGCTGCCGGGGGCTGCCCGCGCTCCTCTGGGGCTGCTCTGACTGGTCGGCTGAGCTGCATTGTGGGACATGCAGGGGGGAGGGGCTCTCTCTTTTGCCCTCTGGGTCCCTGGTGTTGGGGGGCTTCTCACTCTCCCCTTGTTATCGACTCTCCTGGGGTGCTCAAATGTTGATGGCACCCCTGCAGTAGTTCTGAGTCCTCTGTGTGGGAGTTTCCCACTGGCTGAGAGAGCCTGAAGAGCTACGGTTTCCCTGCAGAGGGCCATCCCTCCCCTCTCTCTGGGAGCCATGTGACCCAAGTCGCGGATCTGATGGGGAGGGAGAGGATTTCTTACCTCTCCCCACTTCCTCTGGGGGCCCCAGCACATCCACTCTCAGATGTGTGGCAGTGTGGGTCTTTCCGATGTCCCTTTGTGTGGTTGAGTGTCTCTTGTTCGTGTATGATTGACCCTTTTGTTGTATCTTATCGGAGGAAGAGTTTACAGGAAAGCTCACTCCACCATGATGCTGACGTCACTCCTCTCTTTTTTCTTTTTAAATGGGATCATATAATACATAGTATTCTATAAATGCCCTTTTAGGTTTTTTGATTATAGAAATTTATATTCATTAAAAAATGTCAAATGATTCAGAAGTGTTTGAAGTAAAAATTAATATTTTCCCTGTAGTCTTCCTCTCTCCTCTTCCCCCAAGTAGATCCCATAAAGGTCATTTATATAGTGAGAGCTTGATGTTTATCCATTTAAAGCTTAGTATATCTGTACACAAACATATATTATTTATTTTAGTTTTATGTAATTTGGATTATAACATGCATGTTGTTTTGTGATTTTCTATTAAATATATTGTGAGTAACTAATAGATAATATTTATTCTCACAACAGTTTAGTTAATAGTAGGTCCTAGTACAGATGGAGAAAATGAGACTCAGGTGGTTAAGTAACTTGCCTTCTTTGCCACTCCATTTAGATCTACCTAAAATATGGTTACTTTTATTTCTGGCCCCCATTCTTTACATTCATGAGAATGTACTTGAAAAAAAAAGTTGTCTGTTTCAGAATGGCATCAGAGCTCAGGTGATGCTGTTTTTCTATCTTAATTACAAACTTTGGCGGGAAAATTAGTCTCCTCTTTAAGAGAATTTAATAAATATTTCTTAGGAGGCATATAGTACTTCTTCATTAGTAATTAAGTTATTAAGTAAATTGTTCCTATTATGGCAAAGTAAAAAGATCTAAGACAGGTTTCATAGCTGGGCTAGAATTTCAGAGATGTTAAAATGTGAGAAAAATGTACATTTTAGGGCCAGCCCGGGTGGCCTAGTGGTTAAGTTTGGTGCGCTCCTCTTTGGTGGTCTGGATTTGGTTCCCAGGTGCAGACCCACACCACTTCTCTGTCCATGTCCATATGTGGTGACAGCTCACAAAAAAAAAAAAAGAGGAAGATTGGCAATAGATGTTAACTCAGGGCAAATCTTCCTCAGCAAAAAAAAAAAAAAAAAAAGTACATCTTAGAATCAGTGAAATATAGTGTACCTGTTTATCTGCGAGATGTAGAGAGAGTGAAAAAAAGCAAGCACCATCCTGCACATGTCAAGGAAAACAGTGTTCCGTGAGGCCTTTGGAAAGTCCCACTCTGGCAGGCCAGGCTGGGCTCAGCTGAGTGTGGGCCCTTTTTTAGTGATAATCCTCCCTTCCTCTGGAAAATGAAGGGCTCAGCGAGCAGCTGATTCCATCTGCCTAGGGCGGGGCATCCCAAGGCATGGCTTTTTCATTCGCCTGTGACTCTCTGCTACGAGAGAAAGGCACAAAAGCCTGAAATGTTCTTACCCAGCTTTTTATTTCTTCTCTGTCTCGTGAGAAATGTTCGCTGTTTTGTAATATTGCTAAGAGAGACTAGAGGAAAGCTGCTTCTCAGTGCTCTGAGGAAGGACGAGTTAGAGTGGGTGTCATCACTGTCGATGATCTGAGCTCTACAAGAGGGCGGCCAGCCACCTTACTCGTTTGGAAAATTGCTTTCACTTCCAAGACCCTCAGCTTCACATTCCTAACAGGGCTGTAAGCAGAGTGATAGCCAACTGTTCAGTAGCTTGTAGAATGCAGTCTCTCTTGGAGTGGGTGCCCCTGCTGCCACTGTTAGCCTTTTAGTGGCTGAATCTTGGGGAGGTCTGGCGGTTCTGGGGGGAGGAAGACAAGGTTGGGGTGGGAGTGGGGCTTTGTGGTGTTTGGGGAGTAGCCATTTTCCAGCCTTGTAGAAGTATCTCAGTATTTTATACTGGTATGGATCAGCTAAATAGCAGCCCTGGATATGATAATACCTGCCTCATTGAGTGTTGTGAAGATTAAATTAAGTGAAGTACCACATGCAAAGCATATAGATTCTCAAATTATAACTTATTACCACTAGTACCACCAGAACTTAGAAAGAAGTCTTAATGTTAGTAATTCTGTTACGTATTTTGTCCTCTTGCTCATATTTAAATTCAGCATTCACAAACCGTCAATAAATATGCAGTGACTATATTACAGATTAGGAGCTGTCCTGGCTGGTGGTGACTTCTCTGTGGAAGAGTGGTGTCTGGAACCCTTGTCTCCATCCCCTTGTCTGTTGCTCTGGCTGATGGAGCAAATGAGGTTGATGTTCCCCAGGGTGAACTTGTATTCCGTTTGGTGAGATGTTTTCCCAGACCCCTCAGCAGGAATTCTGAATTAGTTTCTCCATAGAAACAATGTTGTAATTTGCTGCTTTTCTATGTTAACTTTTTTCTCTTGAATTATCAGATTTATATTCTGCGGTTAGAACTTTACTCCAAGAAGATGACCTACGAGATGCACAAAAATCACAATTTATTGCCTTTAGAAGGTAAAGCATTTACAATATTTTAATGTTTTTAATCTAGCTTTTAAATCTTTCACCTTACTAATATAGATCCTGTTTGAACGGGAAACTCTGGTAGTTTTGTCACTGTTAATTCTATCTCTTATTTTGAGGTATTTCTTTGTTAGACATGGCAGAGGGCAATTTCTAAACAGGGCTCTTTCTTCCAAATATTATATTTGGAATCTCTCAGGAAATCTGAATGGAACAAAGGTTTATATTAAGATAAAAGTTCCAAAATAGTTTTTCCTGGAGAAAGTTCTGGAAACTTTTTATAGAATCCAGTGCATCATAATTGTTGATAACAGAAATAAGCACAAAACAGATACCATTAAGGTGACCGTTGCATTTTCCTGTGTTTCAGGCAAGACTGTGATGTCATCAACGCCTGCTGTTGCAAGCACTATACAGGCCGCATCGGCAAGTGAGCACTAAAGGGTGGCCTCTGAGGACAGTCCCTCCTTGATTCACTCTTCTTTTGTCTGTTTTTACATTTATCACTGTAGCCACGTATTTAAAAATCTTTTTTTCTCGTTAGCATAGTAAAATGATCTCTTCAATTAAATATAATATGTATCCTTAGGAATTGACTTTTTGGTAATTGGTGGAATAAGAAAAATAAGGAACAAAATTTTCCCTGTGGTTTCCAGGTTGTCAGTCTCCAGCTTCTCCAAGATGCATGTGGGGAATTCAGGAGAGTTTTTCAAATTATAATATGTCTGTAGTGTGTCCAGGAACCTTAGTGACAGGAGGCCTGCAGGGGCGCCTTAGTGAACATCTGTCAGAGAAATACAAGTGGAGAAAAGCCACTCCATTTACACATAGGAAAAATTACTCACTTCTGTTGCATTTATCAGTACCTACTACTTACTAAGTGCAGAGAAGCCAGAGATGTGTAAGTTCCAGGAGGAGCTCCCTGTCTGTTGAGGGAAGACACACAAAAAACCATGTTAGGTAGCCTAACAAAGGATTAAAAAGCACAAGATTGGGGGGCCGGCCCCGTGGCATAGCAGTAAGTGCACGCACTTTGCTTTGGTGGCCCAGGGTTCACAGGTTTGGATCCCGCACCGACATACCGCTTGTCAAGCCGTGCTATGGCAGCATCCCATATAAAGTAGAGGAAGATGGGCACGGATGGTAGCCCAGGGCCAATGTTCCTCAGCAAAAAAGAGGAGGATTGGCATAGGATGTTAGCTCAGGGCTAATCTTCCTCATAAAAAAAAAAAAAAAAAGTCACAAGATGGGGGCCATCCAGTCTGGATCCCCGTAACTGTGAGCTTGGGCAGGTAACACACCTTTGCATGTATGTAAAAGAGGATATTTATGCCTCTGGCTGTATTAAGGATGAGATGAAATAATATACCTAAAGCACTTATTGCAGTAACTAATATATCACCAGCATTTATTCAGTTTGCTGCTATTGTTCTGATAGAATGTCATAATCGTTATAAGAGAAATATGGATACAGGCTGTAAGACCTGAGATAGGGTGGTGATAGGAGAGATTGGAGAGGAGAGGATGAATTTAAAGGGTAGAATCAATAAGATGTTGGGTAACTTTTAGAATATAGAGGGAAAGAGAGACATCAGCATTTATGCCAAGATTTGTAACTTGAAAAAATCTGGCTGGGAAATGTCACTGAGTTTGAGGTCTGCAGAGAGTGTGGGTGATTGGACCACAGCTGTGGGAACCTGATTTCTTGTTGACCTTTGGAGAACAAAGTGAAGTCAAGAGAGTGTGGAAATTATTTTGAGAATTGGATCGGATCTGAGTTTGGTGTTAATGCTTAAAAAAGATGCAATTGAGGGTTTCCAGACTTTGATGATGTGTTATCATTTTCTAACCCAGAGACCATCAGAATAGACTTGTATTTGGAGTTGGTGATAAAATTTGTTGTACCAGGAATGCATATCTCTTGGACCTACTCCCTGGAAATACCTCCAGCCGTCAGCAAGATAATGAATTAGAGGCCAGTGGTGCAGACTTGGATGGTACTCCTCCCGGTTTTGCTAAAAATAAGCATGACCTGGAAAGTGGTATTCGACTCTGCAATGGAGAAATATTTTTCATAACGAATGTAAGTGATAACAGAAAAATAGTACCTTTTTACCTATTAGAGATAGATTTTTTTTTGTTGCCCTAGGATTGATTCAGAATGTAATCGTATCAGAGTTGACATTCTCATTCCGTTATTTTTTCTTAAGGATTTTTGCATCTGTGTTTATGAGGGATACTGGTTTGTGGTTTTCTAGTGATGGCTTGTCTGGTTTTGGTGTCAGTAATGCTAACTTTATAAAATGAGTTGGGACGTGTTCCTCTCTGTTACATTTTCTGGAAGACTTTGTGAAGAAACATATTTTTAATAAGTTTGAAGTGCTTGAGTAACAAAAAACAAGAACAAGTGAGACACTATATTTACAAAGCATCGTTTCCTTGGTTGCTACTTATAGAAACTATAGAAGTGGTCACCTTGAATTTGTTCTCATTGTATAAACACCCTCTTAAACTTATATGCTTATTCTTTGAAAGCTGTGAGGAAAAGTAAACTTTATGCAGAGAGTATATGCAGACTTCAAAGTAAGAAAGACAACACACACTGTTCTCCAGAGAGTCAGCTTAAGGTTACGTTTCAAGGACCAAAATCTTCCGTGTGTGTTTATTAAAATATTGGGGTGTGTATATATTCAGTTTGTGCTTCAGCTAGATTTTAAGCCTTTTGAAATTAACAATTGTGTGAATATACCTGCTATTATACTTACAAGGTGCTTGCATTTTATGTTCAACCCAAAGACGGAATATCTTTACAGAATGCATATTTGAAAACATACAGAACAGTTGTTTGTTTTGGTGACAGGATGTAACTGATGTGACCTTTGGAAAGAGAAGATTTGTGACCATTAATAATATGGCTGGCTTGGAAGTAACTGTGGATTTTCGGAAACTAATGCAAAATTGTCACATAAAACATGCATGGGCGAGAACTATTCACACTTTTCAGGTAAGAATGGACAAATATAAAGCGATTTAAATAGCTTGCCAAGCCACAGAGTACCTTGCATTATTTTCTTCTTAATTTTTGTTGCTTTTTTTTTTTTAATTAGGAAACAAATGCACAGAAGTACAGAAAATACTATGCAGACATTAACCTTTTGCTCTTTTTGCTTGAGACTCTCTTTATTCAGGAACTAAGTTATAGTTAGAGCCTCATCCTTCGGGCCTCCCCCGCCCACCAGGATGGAAGGGTCAGGACCAGCATGGCTGAATCTTCCTCGTGCTTCAGTGTCCATTGTCGCTGGAGGTGGCACTTTTACTGATCTCGTCTTGATTTAAACTTTTGATGTTTTCTTCATCGTGGATCTTTTCTTGTCTAATTTTGATTTTTTAAAATATTACATTAAGATATTATTTATCTTGATTGCTGCATTTTGTAGTATCCTCTTAAATTTTGTGCCCAATGGGCCGGCCCCGTGGCTTAGCAGTTAAGTGCGTGCGCTCCGCTGCTGGTGGCCCGGGTTCAGATCCCGGTCACGCACCAACACACCACTTCTCCCGCCATGCTGAGGCCGCGTCCCACATACAGCAACTAGAAGGATGTGCAGCTATGACATACAACTATCTACTGGGGCTTTGGGGGAAAAAATAAATAAATAAAATTAAAAAAAAAAAAAAATTTTGTGCCCAAGGCAAGTGCCTCGCTTGTCCCACTGTATTCCAGGCCTTCCACCCTCCTCAGAAGTGACTTTGACCTGAATTGTCCATTCATATGGAAACAAGATTACCAAGGTTTACATACCTGGTATTGTAATGTTTATATATTTTTACAACTTGCTTTTTTTGTTGTTATTTAATCAACTTTATTGAGGTATAATTTGCATACACATTTTAGTTACGAACTTGGATAAGCTTTGACAAACGTATCCCCCCTCCATCCTTGTGAGGCAACGACTTTTTATTTGCAAATAATTTTAGACTTACAGAAGAGTTGGGAGGGTAGTACAGAGAGTTCCCATGTATGCTTCACTCAGTTTTCCCTAATGTTTACATCTTATATAACTATGGTATATTTGTCAAAACTAAGAACTTACTATTGGTACAATACTGTTTAAACTAAACTACACGCTTTATTCGGATTTTACCAGCTTTTCCACTAATGTCCTTTGTCTGCTCCAGGAACTAGTCCTGGACACCGTATTGTATTTAGTGCAACTTGCTTTTAAGCTTTATTTGAATACTTTTGAAATCACATAAGTTATTGGTGGCTCTGTTGCTTATGTCGTTGTTTTGGGGTCCCCTCTTTGATGTTGGTATGTTGCTTTCATCACGAAGCTCCCATCAGCCTACACTTTTATGCAGAAAAATTTCGGTTAGCCTGTATCCTCTACTAGTAGGCGACATTAATTAGCATGGGTTGTTTTTTTTTTTTTAAGTGGATGGTGTTTTATTTATTACCCCATCTCAGTTTCAAAAAAAGTTTGAAATGGTGTACAAAAAATGCCCACAATTCATGATTTTTTAAAAAGATAAAGAAATGATGTCAAGTGGAAAATAAAGGTAGAGAGGGTAGAAGGATTCCTGCAGGAGTGGGTTGGAATGCTCATGTGCACACAGAGCTGTTTGCTCGCTCATGTGGAGTGCAGATTTGGCTTTAAGTTCTTTGCGGCCGAAGATCCCAAAGCAAAGAGAAGCAGTCAGTTGACTGTGTCTCTTGGATTAAAGAAAGAAAGAAACAGTTGTTAAGAAGTGCAAATATTCCTGGCTGTGAGATCCTGGAGAAATTTCTCCCGTGGATCTTTATGATGGGATCTCTGTAATTCTGGAAAGTCATATCCTTGAATTTTGGGAAATTTTCGTGAATAATTTCTTTAGGATTTTAATAACGTCTTTGATTTTCTGTTTTATCTTTCTAGAACCTCTATTATATTGGACCTCCAGAACTGGTTATCTAAATTTCTTATCAGTCTCTACTGTTTCTCTACTATTTTCCATCTTGTTATCATTTTGCTCTACTTTCCGAGAGATGTCCTCAAATTATAATCCAGTCTTACTGTTGCATTTCTGGACAAATGAAGAGTGAAGGGGTCTTTCTTATTACTGGGTTGAGGTTGGAGTAGATATCTCGGAATGTTCCTTTTATTGAATCTGGCTCTCATTTCGTGTTTGAAATAATGTCTCTTACCTTGGAGAACATTCGTGACTGTTATCTTGTATCAGTATAGTTTGTTTCTCTCAAGTTTGGTTCAGTTCAGTAAATATTTACTGAGTCAGACTCTGTTCTCGGTGCTTGGTATAGGTCAGTCCACGAAACAAAGATACCTTCATGTTGTCGTGAAGATTACATTTGGTGGGGAAGAGGACAGAGGCACAGGTGTAAAAAAATAAGTAAACTATGTTATGTTAGAAGGTGGTAAATGCTGTGGAAAGGGGTAGACTGTTGTTGTAATTTTAAGTAGATGGTCAGCGTAGCCCTCACTGAGCAGCTGGCATTTGAGCAAAGACTTGAAGGCGGTAAGGAAATTAACCACTTGGGTATCTGGGAGAAGGACATTCTAGGTAGAGGGAATAGCCAAGGCCAAGAGTATAAGGCGGGAGCCTGTCTGGCATATTTGGAGAACAGGAACAGCAAGGAGACCATAGGAGAGAACGACAGGAGATGAGGTCAGGGAAGTAATGTGGTGTGAGAGGGGTAGAGGGATAGGGGGCCAGGTCACCTCCTAGGGCCTTCTAGGACTGCATTATCCAATATGGTAGCTAAATCTGGCCCACCACCTGTTTTTGTAAATAAAGTTTTATTGGAACACAACCACACATTCATTTACATATTGGCTGTGACTGCTTTTGCACCACAAAGGAAGAGTTGAGTAGTTGCAATAGAGACAATATGGCCTGCAAAGCCTAAAATATTTATTCTTTGACCCTTTATAGAGAAAGTTTTTTGACCCTTACTTTAAGGTCCATATAGACTTTCAGATTCTAAGTCTATAAAATCATGAAGGGTATTAATGGGTTGTGTCCATTCGCACAAGCTGTTGAGTTTTAGAACAAATTTAGATAATAGAAGTATACATAATTAGAAGTAAATATATGAGATTTGGCTCCTTAAGAAGTTTGACAGTTCTGATGATTCAAGGAGGATTTAAGGAAATGGACGAATGGTTTGTAACAGGTTATTTAGGTGAAGTTAGGTGTCCACATCCCACTTTCTGAGCACACCTTTGGCATGACATTTTAATTTTTATCCTCATTCATTTGATGAGACACTGGATAAAGAGCAGTGAGCAAGACAGATGTAGTCCTGCCTTCGCAGAGCTTACAGTCCAGTGAGAAATACAGTGGCAAGGCAGACAGTTACACTCCAGTCTGGTCAAAAGTCTGTGCTGGAGGAAGTGCAGGGTGCTGGGCAAGTCCATGGATGGGGCAGCTAGTCCAGAAGGGGCCACATGGAGCCACAGGCTGGGGAGCACTGACAGGACCACAGAGAGGTTCCTGGTGCCAGACGGAGCATGGCTCCTGGGAAGGGAAGGGGAAAGGAGCAGGGCGAGGAGCGGGGCAAGGCTGGCTCTTGAAGGACTGTACGAGCCATATTAAGGAGTCAGGACTTCATTTTAAGAGCCTGGGAGCCATTAGTGGGTTTTAAACAGAGTCTGATGTGATTGGATTTGCATTTTACAAGTATCACTGTGGCTGCTGTGAGAACAGTGGATTGTAGCAAGTGTGGGTACGGGGAGACTGATTATGAGGCTATTCAGTTGTCCTCAGTGTTACTTAACTGATGATGATGAACTCGGCTAGCTAAGTTTCGGTAGACATTTATCTGTTTAGGAATACACGATATAAAGGCCAAGGTGAGAAATGGTGCTGTATATCTGTAAAACGTATTTAGCATTTGTGTCATCAAGAATCATTTAAGTCAGTTTCTGAGACTCAGCAGCATTGGAAGGAGGTATTCATCAAACTTTTATAATCTGACGAGTTGGTTCAGACTCCTGTGTCTAGGGAGATAGAAGTGCTTGCTGTGTGAGAGGTTTTTCACGGTGGATCTGTACATGCCCTGCTCATCATTTGTCTCCCACAGTTCCATTTTCTGCAGGGCGAATGTGGGAGCCTTGAGGGGGGTCATGGTTGAAGCCACCTCTTAGTTTTTGTTGGCACTGAAAACACAGGGACTAAGGAATAGCCCCAAAGCTTGAAATTGTGCTCTCACGGTTACCTGGAGACATTCGGCATTTTTCTTGCCTGTGCAATTCTTGGTTTGCTAAACTTAAAAAAACGAAGGTTCATTGTTCTCTTTTGTTTATCTTGATAAAAGTAGTAAGTGGTTCAACAATGGGAAGATACAGAAAAGTGGAAGGAAAAGATCATCCACAGGCCCTCCATTTGGAGACAGACTAGTTAAAATTTTGATAAGATTTCCTTCCCTTTTTTCCTGTGATCTGTTTTATTTTGTTACATCTTTACGTTCATTTTGTATGTGCTTTTTTGGATCAGAGTAATTTTATTTTGTTACATAGTTGTGATCATTCTTTATATATAGGTATCTAGTTTTTAGAATTTTGTTATATTTTAAAGCATCTTTGATGTTTGCAAAATAGTATAGATACTATATTTATACTATAAATAAAAATAGATATAAATAAATATCTGTTCTCCAACTATTGGATATTTAAGGTGTCCATTTTTTGTTGTAGAAGTAACAGTAGGATAACGCATTTACACATAAAGCCCATCCAATCATTTCAAATTCTCTTATTAAGGGAGATTTAGCACTGCATGCTGTCTTTCAAGTTTCTTGTTAGGTTTCTGTAAGCCAGGTGTGGATCTGTGAGACCTGAACTTAGTAGCATAACTGAACAATGTGAGTTCTTGGATAGTGAATAAAATGGAACCTATGGATGGATTTATGTGAATACTCTGGCCAGGTGGAAGGTGGACTTTAGGGACTTGTGTCTCTCCTACCTTCATAGACTGTCTGAGGACCTGGGCTCATTACACAGTATTCTGTCTCCCTAACACACTGTTCCCTCTCAGGGCTCTGAGGAGAAGACAGTCGTCTACGTGGTCGGGAGGGCCGGCCGCCAGCACTGGCAGCACGTCTACACCGCAGTGACCAGGGGCCGCTGCAGAGTGTATGTCATTGCAGAAGAGTCTCAGCTGCGGAGCGCAATTGGGAGAAGAAGCTTCCCCAGAAGAACTCGTTTAAAACATTTTTTGCAAAACGACCTCTCCATGAGCTGTGCAACTCCAGCAGATTTTGCATCCCCATCCAAGAGCTCTGGAGACAATGGAGGACCCAGTGGAGCACCCAGCACACCGCCGTCAGCCTCATCTACAGCTGACACGGTGACCAGTGCCGTCCCCAGAAGCGAGGCCTCTGGGGCTGACGACAGGGCGTTCTCCTTCCCTGGAAGGTGTAAATTATCTTCACCTGATGAAATGGATACAGCTGAAGATCCATCAAAATCGAGAGGGTCCAAAAGATCCTGTGCCATGAATGACACTGGAAGTCCAAACAAACTTCTCATGGTAGGAGTGACGTTCTCGTGTGCTCAGGTTTTATTTAAACGTTGCTAACTTTGGCGCGGTTATAAGTGACTATATTTTTATTAGTGTTACATTGTGCTGTAGGACTTCAAAACAACTGTTCTCGCAAAACACGTGTTGTCTTACCTCTGTCACATTTCCTCTCTCCTGTGCCTGGTTCATCTTAGTTGATCTTTGTCACTCTGCGTGGGGCTGGCACTCTGGGCGACCTCAATCAACTGGTGGGAGGTGGTCTGCCAGGAGGAACTTCTTAGTCTATTCTGGACTTTTTTCCTGACATGTAGTAGTTTTCACTGCTGATGCTGTTTCCATGTTTCCCTCCCTTGGTTTCCGTGTCACCTTAGGGGTCACTCCCCTACCTCTGTGTCTCGTCTTCCCGTCACTTCTGCACTCCGTTTCTTGTTCCCATCCCCTGACTGGCGACATCTCCCCCAGGCTGCATTCTCTTTTCCTTTGAGAACTGATCCCGTTCTCTGTTTTGGCCTTCACCTTGGCCCCGCTGATTTCTTCAACAAATAGTTGCAGCTCTCTGGTACATTCCAGGCACTGGGAATTCAGAGATAAGTGACAGTGCCCACTCTTGCGCTGATGGCCCCTGGGGGAACCAGACAGGCCATGTAAGTAGCCTGGTGTTTCACCGACTGCTCGTTAAGGCTGACGTGGAGGTAGTGAACCAGCTTGCGGTCAGTGTCTTGTTCCTAGGGACTGACTTTCTGGACTCACAGCCCAACATTTTACTCTCTTTTCTGATTTCTCCATTTCAAACCCCATTTTCTCTGGTATACAAGCCTAAAATCTGGGACTCACCCTAGATTCACCTTACTGTCGCCCTCTACCTCTAGTGAGTTCCTAGGCTTACTGCAAATTATCTCTCAGGGATTTCTTCTGTCCCATTTAGTCTGGGCTCTTTTAGGTCCTTCTCTCATCTTCGTGGATGATTGCTGATCTGGCTGCCTGCCCCTCTCTTGTTCCCATTCTCCTAATGCACCCTGCGCATCATTACCAAATTAACCCCCTGAAGTGCTCAGCTCATTCCTTTGTTCAGAAGCCTTCAGTGGCTCCCTGGTGCCTACAACGTAAATTCTAGACTCTCTGGCTTGCGATTTAAGACCTTTGACCGTTTGATTCCAGCTTTCCCAGCATCATTTCATTTCCCACTCTTTAACACTTTAGTCAAGCTAGTCTCCTCATTCACTAAAATGAGCCAAACTTATTCTCATCTCTTCCTTTTGGCTCTTCTTGTGCAACTTGGCATGGATGCGTCTTTCTGCCTTCCCTCTTTCAGCATTTGAGAAACGATTTAGCTCCTCTGCACTGATCCAGATGTTAGAGGGAGGAAAAAAAAGTCCATGGCTTTACAGACATTACATTGCACCAGTGGGTCATAGGCACTAAACACAAGAGAAAATATGTCAGTCATACAGAAGGACCCCACGCTTGTTTTAATGTTCTGCAGTTGCCATCTTAAAATTCTTAATTTTTGAACAAGGAGGCCACATTTTAATTTTGTACTAGGCTGCCAGATTATGTAGTGGGCCGTGTCTACACCATTAGAAATTGAATATATGTACTCATTCAGCAAACAGTCACTTCTGCATGCCAGTCCAGTGCTGGGGGCTGGGGATCCCGCAGTGAGCAAAAGCAGACATGATCCCACACAGAGTTGACAGCCGATGCATCTGCTCCAGCCTTCCAGGGGGCGGGGAAAATGTATTACGTCTTCTGCAGAAGCAGTCAGAGGGAATAGAAGTACATAGGGCAGACTGACTCCATTTTTACAAAATTAACTTTGTTTTTATTATTGTTCTAACAGGTGCAAGAATCTCCACAAGTGGCTTCCAGACTTCAGACTTTGAAACTAAATAGTTTAACCCCCAGGCAACTTTTCAAACCCAGAGATAATCAAGAAGCTTAATTTTCTTTCAGACTGTTCAAAATAATTGTCTTTTTTTTTTTCCGTTCAACACAAAATGAACATCATAGCTTCAAAGTATCAAGATAAATGAACATGTCTATAACTGGAGTTTTATTTTAGGATGTTTGTTAGTAGATGTTTTAAATTCATTTGATCAACGAAAACTTTAATGATTTGAACATCTGTCATCATGAGAACTGGTAGCATTGGACATAAATGAGGGAAAAAGATGTTATATGTTTTTCTTAAAAAAAAAACTACTTTAAAAAGTGTTTTATTTTTAGGATAATGCCTTATTAACTTCTGTGATCATTGTGGATGATCTTTGCCAGTGGGTGGAAGCAATGGTAAAGATAAGCTGTAATTGCGTCTCTCATACGATTGACACACATTCCAGGACGTTGTGTCTTATGCAAAGTGGTCATCTCACAAGGCTGCCCCTCGCTCCATCACTGCTGCCTGGACCCACCTCACCTTGGACTTTTCCTGGAAATTCCTTCTGAGTTGCGAGAACATTGTTTTTGTTTTCTTAATTTGAGATATAAATGACATATAACATTGTGTAAGGTTAACATGTACAATGTGTTGATTCGATACACTTCTGTATTGCAATATGATCGCCACTAGCATTAGCTAACACCCCTATCACGTCACATAATTATCATTTCTTTTGGAAGCACATTATTTTGAAGACATTCCACTTTGGAAAAGTTTTTCCTCTCAGAGTGATTTGATTTTTGTGTTTTTTTTTTGAGTTTTATTTATCATTAAATGGTAAAAGAAAAAGTTAAGAGGAAAAATTTACCTTTTACCCTAATGTTTTACAAATAGGCTTATTGAGATATAATTCACATAAAACTCACCCATTTGAAGTGTACAACTGAGTGGCTTTTGGTATATTCATAGAGTTGTACAACCAACACCACAATCGATTTTAGAACATTTCTGTCACCCCCAGAAGAAACCCTGTACCTCTGAGTTCTAATCCCCTCATCCCCTCCAGCCCTAGGCAACTACTAATCTACTTTATCTCTGTGGATTTGCCTATTCTAGACATTTCCTATAAATGGAACCATGCAGTCTGCTGTCCTTTGTTACTGACCTCTTTGACTCAGCGTCATGTTTTCAGACTTCATCCATGTTGTAGCATGTGTCACTGCTTCATCTTTTTTAAAAAAAGATTTTTTAAAAATTTATGTACAAAGAGCTAGCATTGTTTCTTTCATCGGATAGATGTCTTGGATAATCCAGTCAAGGAAGATCACTCAGTCCAACTTGAAGCCTAGATCCTTCATGTACTGATGGAAAAGCTGGAGGCATAGATTGAGGCCATGTCTCCAGATCAGACTGCTGGTTTGAGCTGACGCGGCACGATCGGGAACCTGGCTGAATTTTCGCAAGTGGCTCCCATAGAGCTGCGGGTGACCCCGTCTTGCTGTCAGTGGTGCAGTGAGGCGAAAGGCTTTCATCTCTTTTTATTACCAAGTAATATTCCATTGTATGGACGTAGCACATTGAGTGTATCCATTCATCAGTTAATGGACATTTCGGTTGTGTCCACTTTTTGGCTATTATAACTAATGCTGCTATGAACATCTGTGGACAAGTTTTTGTGCGGACATATATTTTCATTTCTTTTAGGTATATACCTAGGAGTGGAATTGCTGGGTCTTGTGGTAGCTCTATGTTTAACCTTTCGAGGAATGCCAGACTCTTCCATAGCGGCTGCACTGTTTCATATTGACACCAGCAGTACCTGAGACCTGCAGCTGCCCCCCGTTCCCTCCAGACTTGTTATTTTCTGACCTTTTGATTATAGCCATCCTTGTGGACATGAAGTGATATTTCATTGTGGTTTTGATTTGCATTTCCCTTATGGCTAATGGTTTTGATCATCTTTTCATGTGCTTATTGGCTATTTACATGTCCTCTTTGGAGAAGTGTCTATTCAGATCTTTTGCTCATTTTTAAACTCAGTTATTTTTCATTATAAAGATATGAGTTCTTTATATATTCTACATATGTCCCTCATTAGAAACATTATTTGCAAAATTTTTTTCCCATTCTCTGGATTTTATTTTCACATTCTTGATGGTATCCTTTGAAGCACAAGTTGTAAATTCTGATGATGTCCGGTATATCTATTTTTGTTGTTGCTTGTGCGTTTGGTGTTATAGCTAAGAAACCATTGCCTATCCAAAGTCATGAAGATTTAGTCCTATTTTTTCTTCTAAGAGTTAAATAATTCTGGGTCTTACATTTAGCTCTTTGATTCATTTTGAGTTAGTTTCTGTATATGGTGAGGCAGTGGTCCAACTGCATTCTTTTGTATGTGGATATCCAGTTGTCCCAGCTCCGTTTCTTGAAGAGACTCTTCTTTCCCCCGTTGAGTTGTCTTGGCACGCTTGTCAAAAATTAATTGATTGTAAATGTGAGGGTTTATTTCTGGATTCTCGATTCCATTCCACTGACCCATACATCTGTCGTTACACGAGCACAACGCTGTCTTCATTAGCTTTGTAGTAAGTTTTGAAATCAAGAAATGTGAGTCCTCCAATTTATTCTTCTCTTTCAGGATTTTTTGGCTTTTCTGGGTCCCTTGCATTTCCATATGAATTTTAGAATCAGCTTGTCAATTTCTACAAAGCAGCCAGCTGGGATTTTGAGGGAGATTGTGTTGAATGTATAGATCTAGGGAGTATTGCCATATTAACAATATTAAGTCTTCTGATCCATGAACATGGGGTGTCTTCCTTTTTTATTTTTTTGTTTTAAAGTTGTTTTTTTTCTTTTATTTATTTATTTTTTTGGTGAGGAAGATCAGCCCTGAGCTCACATCATTGCCAATCTTCCTCTTTTTGCTGAGGAAGATTGGCCCTGAGCTAACATCTGTGCCCATCTTCCTCTATTTTGTTTATGGGATGCAGCCACAGCATGGCTTCATGAGTGGTGCGTATGTCCTCACCAAGGATTCGAACCTGCGAACCCCGGGCCACTGAAGCAGAGCACGCGACCTTAACCACTACGCCACTGGGCTGGCCCCAGGGATGTTTTTCTATTTATGTCTTCTCACATTTTTCCAACAATGTTTTGAAGCTTCAGAGTATGTTTTCTACTTCTTTTATTAAATCTATTCCTAAGTATTTTTGATCCTACTAACAATGGAATTGTTTTCTTTTTTGGGGGCATGTTTGTTGGTACTATATAGAAGTACAATTGATTTTTGTATATTGATCCTATCTTGTAATCTTGCTAAACTCATTGATTAGTTTTAATAGATTTTTAGTGGATTCCTTAGGATTTTCTATATACGAAATTATATCATCTGCAAATAGAGATAATTTTACTTCTTCCTGTCCAATATGGATGCCTTTTATGTCATTTTCTTGTCTTACTGCTCTGGCTAGGACCTCTAGTACACTATGCACATCCTTGCCTTTTTCCTGTGAATTTACAAGGCCTACAAGGCAATCTGCAAAAATGAAAATGTTGGGACTCTAGGTGTAGTTTTCTTTTTTTTAAGATAGCATGATTGAAATTTGTACATTTTAATAGTTTATTTGAATGTATGTCATAGAATACATGTACTGTTGTCTGATGGCAGACATGTGATCCTGGAGTTCAGATCTGTCCTTGTCACCCAGAATAAACGTCCAGTGAGTGTTGGGGGGATCCCGTCTGCAGGCTGTTTCGGCATCTTCACCCGTGTGTCACACCCATCCTCATAGTCCCGGAGTGCAGATAGGACTTCAGTCTCACAGGTGGGGAAACCGACCCACGGTGAGTGAATTCATACCACCAGTGAGTCCCAGAGCTGGAATTCAAACCCAGATCTGACTTCAGAACCCATGCTCGTCCCACTCTTCTGTGCTACTTTTCAAGTTTATGGCAAAACCTTCCTCTTGAGAAAATGAGGTAACAATAAGCATTGTGTAGGACTCTGTCTGGAGCACTAAAATATATTCAAAGCACCAAAAAAATGCATCCATATTTTTTTTTGGCTTTTTAAAGTCACTGTTTATTCCATTTGGTAGAGGGTTTTTTTTTTTTTTCATACAAATATTTGCAACAATTTTGAATTCCCCAAAACCATACATAGACGATAAATATCATGCTATTAAAGTATTAAATTTGTACAAAAATACTTTACAGCTTAATACTTGTTTGTTACAAATAAAAATACATATTTAAGTGACTCGTGATCTTTCTTTTTCTTAACATGATTCTGCTTTATACTTTCTTGCCCTGGCGGTTTTGAAATATGCTTGAAATAATATATTTCTTTGCACAAAAACAAAGGTGAACTTTTTCCTTAAACAAAGGACACAGTGTTCAAATGCTTTACCTAAGCGGTTGTTTGAATTATTGACCAAAATGAAAATGTTTGGAAAATAATCATTTCTGTATGGAAAGTCTACAATCAATATACAGATCTATTTGTTTTTTATATTCACCAAATAACAGTTATTAGTGTAACTATTCAAAACATCTGAACAAATGGAAACAGTCGCTGACAAACTTGAAAAGCAACTGTCACAATTTATTGCTTTGAGGGAAGGTAATAATAATTGGCAATCCATTTTGTGAAGAATGTATTTACAATTTCAGTAAGTGGCATGGCTCAGAACAAAAGATACTCCAGTGTCATTTTTAAGTACATGTGCTGTACACCCTCAATATAGCCAGTTTTCAAAACATGTCGAGCAATACGAGTTTGATTTGCCTAGCATTAAGATAAATCTCATTTGAATAGACTCTTCATTCTCTCTTAAATTCTTAGTCTTGAATTTTAAAAATAACTAATTCTCAGTGTTACTAAACACTCTAATTCATTATTAGAGATTTTCAACTATTAAAAACGTGTCTTTAAAAAAAAAAAAAACAGGTCACAAGACATATCCTGTTTGATATTTGTTGCATAGGGAATAGCATACATCGTAGTTAAAATCATTCCTATACTTGGGCAAACACTTACCACCACCTATTATGGTCTCCCTACGTGCATCACCGCTGAGATGTCTGAAGGTAACATAATTCTATACCTGAACCCCTCCCACAGCAGCCCCAGCAGCTTACCAAACTCCGGTTCCCATAGTAGAGCCAGCTGTACGAAAAGTCTTGTGGTCAAGTTCTTACATGAACGACTTCATAGTAAGAAACTGGTTGCAAAGTGAATTACGGAAATGAGCATAGAGATTATTTTCAGACAGACATTTTTCTTTTTAAAAAGTGGTAGGAAGATGAACTTGTAAAAAATTTCCTCTGATGTTAATTGTGGGGAGGGGTGGCCTGCCTATTTTTCGTTTTCTCTACCATTGGGCCTGGCAGGGAGTTGCCTGCCTCATACCATAGTGGTCACCAAAAAAGAAACCTCTTCAACTTGGAAAGGGAAGTGTACATGAACCATGAGAGATTTAAAAGACCCCTGTGCTTGCAGTTAATGCCATGTGATTCTCTGTGCTTCAAACGTCACAGAAATCAGAGGGCTTTTTAGCACCATGTAGATAGCGTCTCTCGTCCTGCTTTACAGGAAGCGTCGCTATAACGTATTAGTGGGTTCTCGCATCTCTAAGTTACCGCCATGGCTCGGCTGCTGGAAAAAAGCACTGTTCTGGTCGCTCCGTTCTCCTCCCGGTAGAGTCTGTTCTACAGATTTCTGTGAAGCCAGTGGGTTTCTGCTGATGACCAGATCCAGCTTATTACCAGAGTCTGCGATGAGGGGCACCACAAGGCAACAGTCAAAGTCTCTCGTTCGGACGTGATTCACCTGAAGGGTCGAGAGGAGCCGTTCTGAGTTATTGGTCGAGTCAGAAGCTGATTCCCAAACCCAGGGTGACACTTCGGCTGTGACAAGTTGTCTTGAAGGTGCTTAAACATGCACCCTGTACAGAGGTCTGTCCCTGGTCTGCCCACACTGTGACGTGGTGTTGGCTGACTCATTCTCTGCTCCTACGTGGGAAGGCCCTTGAGAGCAGGGAACAAGGACATGTCTCAACACCCCCACGCCGCACAGATCGCCTCACTCATGGCGGGAGCTCCGGGTGCTGAATGTTACCCCCAATTTACAGAGGACACTGAGGCATAGGGTGGCTGAGATATCTGCCTAGGTCAGCGGTTGGTAAGTGGTTGAGCTAGGACATGATCCTGGGCTGATTCCAGAGCCCGTGCTCTCGACCACGAGCTGAACTACCCTCTCACGTGAGCCCACCCCCTCCTCAGCTTAGACATGTGCTCGTCTTTCATTTCTCCTTATTCTTCACCAACAAGTTTTTAAAATCATCTACAAGCTGCTTGCATTCCTGACTTTCATTCTGGCTTCCATCTTCTCAGGCTGGGACCTGACCCTTACACTGGACAAATGACGCCACTGTCCCATACACGAATGGCATCTCGAGTTCTCACCCCCTGTGGCCTTTAGCATTGGCTGCTCTTGACAGCTACTCGTCCTTACAATTCTCCTTTCAGGCCTTTCCTGCCTTTATTTCTTCTTGTCCTTTAAATTTTGTTTTCCTTAGAATTCTATCCTTGGTTCTCTTCTCTCTCTTACTCGAAGTCCACCATAGGCAACTTGATCCAACCCGTGCCTTCAGTATCCGAACTCTTTTTAGCTCTGGCTCTAACATCTCTCCCGAGCAACAGATCCAAACTGCCCACTGCCTCCCAGACAGCTCCACCAGGATGCGCTGAAGATGCTGGAGACTTAGGTCTGACACAGGTGTCTTCCCCATACCACCTGGTCTCCTTTCCTGTGATCTGCCCCTTCCCCACCTCCCCCAACTCACCCTTGATAATATCGTATTGTCTTTCTAAATTACAAATTATATCATTATTCTGCTTAAGAAATTAATATACCTCCAGCATCAAGTCCAAGAGCTTTATCCTGACCTTTAAGGTCCTTCACAATCTGAATTCAGTCTGCTTTTACAGCCTCAGCTTCCATGGGAGTACGTATAGCTCCAATTTATAGACTAGGAAGACACTCTCAGAGGTTAAATGACTTGTCCGTAGTTATTCATTCAGCGAAAAAGTATTGATGGAAAATAAAAGTGTCCTCTACTCCTAGGACAAGACTAATTGCTCTATTGCCACAGTAAAAATGATCACCAGAACTGGCTTTAAAACTCTCTAATTGATCAATGACAACTAGCTTCAGCGAACACACCTTCCGAAGCCAATCAGCCTCATGCTCTGACTCAGCTGTTTGGTGACAGACTCATTCCAGTTGAACATGCTTTCAAGACTGATGTCAACCCTCTCCTTTCCTTGCAAAATACTCTTCCTAAAAACTGTACCTAAGATCAGGAATTTGCTTTGCTCCGTGAAACTACCCCTCACCACAACAGCACTCCATTAAGTGAACAAGGTTCAGGTTTTTGGTTTCAGATATTGTGTAAGATGCTGAGATACCAAGCACTGTAGAATGAGAATGGGAGAATAAGGTGCTAGCCTCGTTCTCTAAAAGTGTATCATCTGCTGGGGAATCCATACAGGGAAACAGGCAATTTCAATAACTGGTAAATTCTACCAAAGGAAAAAGCTTCTATCCTATACAGTAGGGGTCCCTAATCTAGTCTTGAGGCAAATGAGGATGGGTGGGAATTGGTCAAATAAGCCTTTGAAGAGTTAAATTAACTAAAATTCCACTGAGGTCTTACCTGTAGGAGCCTGTCATAGGGCTTTAAACCACCAAGATCTCCTGGCCCAGCTGGGCGAATATTTTTGACATATACTCCTTTCTCCAGCAAGCCATCGGCTACACTGAACCCAAAGTCTTCCATGTCAGAGCCCTTGTACAAGGTCACCTGGAAAGTGAGAAAACGTGAAGGGGACATTCAGTGGGTTGGAGACTTTTGCTTGTGAATCCTCCTGAAAAACTTTTCAAACTAATGTCAATAACATAATGGATTTGTAATGTGTTAGGCAGCTCCCCCAACCCTGCAGCTTTTCTCCTTCTCCAAGAATGTCCTTGGAATTTGGAAAGTCCCACCAGAACTGAAGAAGAAGAAGAAGGAGAAATGCTGGAGAGTCTTGGTCATTCTGTTTTCTTAATTTCAGTTCTCAGGTATGCGTGGTGAGAATGTCCCTAGGGCAAGTTGATGTCTCTGTGTTCCTGAGCAACCCTGTGGTGCAGGGAGCAGCCAGGGGCAGCCCCGAGTCTGACTGATGGACATCAGGACTGGGCCAAGGCCCTTCCTTCCTGCCCACGCGCCCGGTGCTGGGCTGGGTACAGAGGGGAGCTGAGAGCGCTCCTGAGGCAGACACCTTGCTCTCAGTGCTTGTCCAGGGGCTGGTCTAGCAACTCAAGGCATTCATCCTTCTCGGCTGCAGGCCGCCCTGGTTCTCTCTGCCCTGAAGGCCAGCTATGCCAGCTAAAGCCTCCCCCAGTCCTCACTCCTCCACCCGGCCTCCTGCAGGAGTCAGTCTGAGGTTCATTCATTCATCAAATCATTCATTCACTCACCAAATGTGTGCTGAGTCCATACCACATTCTAAGCACCGTCCTGGGTGCTGGGAAACAGCAGGAAGGGGAGAGGGAAGAGCCAGCCTTCCAGAGGCAAACACATTAATAGCTACCATTCACCCAGCACCCTCGGCGCTGACACCACTGGGTACGTGGTTCACTGAGGTTTGCTGGGTGCCCTCTGCAGAAACCGATGCACACTTCAGGCAGTGATGTGGGCTTATTTTTTACTTTAACTTATTTTATTGTATTTCTATAAAAGCAGTACACGAATACATTCTTGTAAAATAGTCAAAAATTCAGAGCTTTACAGGGCAGAATGTGAAGATTAAAACTTGTACCGTGGATTTATTTTTTTATAGCCAGTTATTCTACTTCAGGAAATATGGAATATTGAAGGAAATATAAAAGTGGCCCGTTTCTAGATTTTTATTTCACCAGACAGAGATTTAAAATATCAAGCCGGGCCAATACTATTCATCAGGCAGCCCTGGGGATTACTGCCATTGTAGAGGCGAGGAATTCAATTTTATAGAGCTTGAGTAGCTTGCCCAAGGTCACAAAGGTAAGAATGGTGGGGCCACCCGCCTGACTCCAGACACCAGGGACTTCACCACTGTGCTCTGTTGCCACCCCAAACGCCTTATAGGTTCTAAGATGCACTTTTTTCTCCTCTTTTAAAATCTCTGAAATCAGGCTGTGTTTTATCATCGATGGCATCTTAGATCCTAGGAAATAAGGCGCATCAACATTCCACCCCTCTCTGCCTCTTTCCCACTATTACATTAGAAGGAGAGGGGCCAGAATTTTGTTGCAACTTTGCTTAAAGAGAAAAAACATGTGCTTGCAACTTAAAGTGAGGTAGCATCGACACCGCTCAGGAGCGTGTTAAAATGCAGAATCTCAGACCCCGGCCCAGACTGGCTGAACTGGCACCTGCAGAGCCCTAGTGATGCCATGTGCACCCTGCTCTGTGTGGTGCTCCACACACCAGAGGGGCTGTGACACGCTCTGGGAAAGAGGCAGAGGACTAGTGTCCAGTGAGATGACCCTCTGCAGGCTCATTCCATCGTGTGTGCATGTGAGTGAGTGTGTGTGTGTGCACGCACAAAATGGATCCTATCTGCAGGCTCATTCCATCATGTGTGTATGTGAGTGAGTGTGTGTGTGTGTGCGTGCACGCACACAATGGATCCTACTACGTGCCAAGTGCTGTTTGAAGGACTGAGGATACAGCAGTGAAAAAAAGACGCAGCAGTGAACAAATGTAGCCCTTGTGAGTTCATGGTCCAGTGAAGACATCTGATGTAATCCTGCAGGATGGGACAAAGTCTCAGGTTTTTTTTTTTTGGTGAGGGAGATTCACCCTGAGCTAACACCTGTGCCCATCTTCCTCTATTTTGTATGTGGGTTGCTGCCACAGCGTGGCTTGATGAGCAGTGTAGGTCTGTACCCAGGATCCGAACCCACAAACCTGGGCTGCCAAAGTGGAGCACGTGAACTTAACTACTTAATCACTATACCACAGGGCCGACCCCACAAAGTTGCAGTGTGAAGTGAGGCGGTGTAGCGTATATAAGGTTTTACTGTCTGAAATGACCTGATTTCCACGGAAGGATCACTTTCATGGCACTCGGTTATACAAGAACCAAGTGGTGACCCCCACTTCGCTCTAGAAGGGGTAGTGTGTGCATGTGTGTGTGTGTGTATGCAGCTTGTGATCCGGCTCAGGGAAAGGCCTCAGAGGAGGACACAGGAGAGGGTCTGCAAGCTCCCTGACAGGGGCAGGAATCTTTGTTTTGTTCACTGACATACCCCAAACCCCTACAGTGGTGCCTGCCACATGGTAGGGTTAGTATTTTGTCGAATAAGTGAAACCACTGGTTCTGACACACCCTGTGGTTGAGTTTGGAAGCCGGTCAGAACTGGCCGCGATGTGCTGCGAGTGTGAACTCAGAGGGATTTAATTCTGGGGTTCAAGCCATGCCCCCCCCCTCCTGCCCCAGGGCTGTGCTGGGAATAGTAAGAGGGCAGCTGCACGGTGGCTAGGTGGATGGGGCTGGGCAGGACGAAGCTACAATGGCAACACCGTGTGGCCGTGAGGGGTGAGGGCTCGTCTGAGGTGGGAGCCAGGCCTGCCTCACTCAGGGGCTGAGGAAGCCCCATTCTTGGACAGGTAGGTGGGATGGAGGGTCCTCTGGCAGGAAAGGCTGGACTTCTTGTGCGATTTGAGTGAGTAGATTCAAAAGCAGACAGGATGTTATCGTCCCTACCAAGTCTGCGGAGCAGATCACACCGACGGGGAAATTAAATTTATTACTGAAGTTCCTCATTGCTTGATTGGCCTGTGATTCTTGGATGTCTGCTCCAGCCAGATCCCAGGAGGGGCAGAAGGCCGAGTAGCACCAAATAATGCCAACAACAGTCAGTGGTAACACAGTGACCAAAACCTCAGAGTTGGATGTCAACCAGAGCAGGTTAGCTGATTAGTTCACTAACTTTACGGCCACACTTGTTGGCCAGGAGGCTTGGCTCCCCTGGGCCTTAGACTTGATGTATCTCTATGGCAAACTCTTCAGGATGAGAGGCTGATGAATGAATGATTTAAATTTGAAAGTAATCTGTTTCTCTAGAAAGATTTCCTAAGGTTAGAGGAGACCGAATTTTAATAGCCAGCTCTATGGTTCTCCTGAAAATAGCAAATAAAAATGAAATTATTTTAAAAAGACACAAAAGATCAGATTGCAGGAATCAATAATTCTCAAAAATGGGGAGCACAGCTGGCTGCCCTCAAAGCAGCAACAATAAATTGTGCCACGTAGCTGCTGCCTCTTATCTGGCTGGAGATTGGTAGTGGTTACTTCTGATTTATTTCCTGTCCAAAAATAATTCTAAGGATTCCGAGGTTTAAGTCGCATTCTTTTTCACAGATGAATCCCTCATCTAGGCACTTTCCTGTATGTGACTGCTTTTGGTCCCAACAACTCTGTGCAGCAGAATCATTCCTTCCTGTTAACGAGGACACTACTCTTGAGGAAGCTGATGGATGGACTTGTCCAGTTAGAATGTATAAGCTCTAGGATTCGGGACCAGAATATCTCACCTCGTTTGCTGTGTTCCTTTCACCAAATTATGATTTTTTTTCTGGACATATAATCTCCTAGCTGGTCAGGCAGCCTTTATCCATTTCCAACTGCCCAACCAACTAAAGATGAATAATTTATCATGTCTGCTGTGTTTCTTCTTGGAGAGCCCTTTCGTGGCTTCCCGTGAACACCCGTATAAACTCCTGCTCACTGCTCCTGGAGCAATTCGTGTTCCCCCCTAGCCCGCAGGAATCAAGATTTTTCTCGTAGGATCTCTATTCTGTGCTGACGAAAGGATGCCTCTGGGGCACCTGGACTGTGACCACAATGCTAGATTTTTTCTGTTCTAAAAGGGCCAAGGAGCCTCCTGGAACATAACACTCTGGGCAAGGATACAGTTCCACAAAGCTCAGTTCAATTTTGACACTTCGTCAGCTCATGCTGCAATTGCTTCTAACCCTCCGAGAGCAGAAGCCGTAAGAGGAGGTGGTGGGGTTCACCACAGCTCAAGCCGAGCCCTGTTTTATATTTCCAAGCAAGTCTATCCTCATGTCTGAACGATGTCCTCGAGGCAGAGATCAGACACCTGATGCTTGGGTTGACACATGTGAAAAGCTTCAGCAGCCGAGCCAGCTCTCCCCACTTGGATTTTAAGGGCAACCGTGTCTACTCTCCTGAGCAAGTCACTGCAAGTGACAGCCATTGCCAGAGCAGTTCCTGAGCCCGGCAGCCTCCCTACAGCTCAGCCCCCTGCCCGAGGGCCTTAAGGACCAAACCAACACCTACTTCTCAGAGATGGTACTGGTTTTCCCCTAAGTTACCAGGCACTTGGGTTTATTCTCCCAGACACCACTGGGGTCACTCTGTTCCTTTAAACCTGACCATTCAAGGAATGTCAATTTTGAGGACAATCCTACACTACCTGTGGGGCTGGAAGAAAAATAAAGTGTGGCCCTCCCAGCTGCATTCTTCGAGCCCAAGAGGAGGCAATCTCGGTTTACACCCCTCAAACTCAGGGGTTTCGAGACAAACTGGGTCAAGAAAGGCAGCTGGTCTCCCCAGCAGAGGAGAGAAGGGCAGAGCGGCCTCACACTCTGCCTCCTGCTGCCCCCTGGCAAGCGGTGGCACCAAGGGCTTCAAAAAACCGGGCTCAATAGTCAGAGCATCTCTCAGCTTGGCTCTAAGTATGAGCAAGTCAGGGGCTGACTTGGCCCTCGGAGAACTGAGTCCCAAACAAGGGAATGTCCCGGGTTTT